TTGTAGTTTCCTGGATCTGTTTTTTCCCCTTTGTTGAAGATGGGAACCACATTAGCTCTTTTCCAGTCCTCTGGTGGTTCCCTGGTGCTCCAGGATCTCTGAAAGATATAGTTCAGTGGTTCTGAAATCTCGTCTGCCAGTTCCTTCAGAACCCTAGGGTGTAATCCATCCGGTCCTGGTGATTTGAACTCGTCTAGGATAGACAGGTGCTCACTTACCATTTTCTTCCCTATTATCTCAAAGGACCTAGCCATGGTATTCGCATACTTGTTGATTAAACGTGAGACCTTGACCCCTGAGACAACACAACTCTATCAAGAGTGAAGAATAATACAATCCTGGAATCAGGAGATTTCTGAATTAAGGGCTGCTCCATTTTGTTTGGATAGAATCTGAGCCTACGTTTTCCCACCCAGATACTGAAAGCCACTGGGCACTGAGATGGTATTTCTACCACATCTCTTATTGGGTCCATGTTGGCAATGTGAATATGGATATATATTCTGTTACACGAACTGACATAAACTCTCACAACAGTTTTATGCAGATGTTAAAACAGAGTAACAAAAACCAAATCCTAACCCTATAACTGAGTATCCTAGAGTCTGACTTCTCATCCACAGTGCCACAGGCTGAAATAGTCTGCTCAGAGAAGGGTGGAACCATTGTAGCATTGTGCCTTTAACTCCTAACGCCCACAGGCAGCTCAGAGAATACAGTGGTGAACACTACTGAAGGTTAATGTATGTAGTCATGCATATACTTCAGCAAGGAAGAGAATATTTGATTGCAATAAGTCACTGTAATTGGGGCTCATAGAGATAATATGGTTAGGTCACAATTCAAGGCACATGTGGGAAGGTTGTGACAGAGATTCTGGATTCACAAACTGTTCTCAAATGGAGAGGGTTCAGTTTGAATAGATTGTTCCATATGAGGAAGTCCCAAACATTTAGCTATAAGGCAACTGCCAGGTGAGAATCAGTTAAGGCAGATGCTATTCTTCTCTAGTAAGGAAGCATGTCAAGCAACTCTGCTCTATTATCAAGATTGTATGGTATGTTTGTGGCAGTTGCATAGGAACAGGACTTGTCATCTGACTCCTGGCACAGCCAGATTCAGGTGCTTGATCGCTTGCCTATCCCTGGCCCTGACATTAGTCCAGCATATCCAGAGCAGACTCATTATATTAGAATCATCCTTGTCTGTATTCGGCATGACACCACTGTCATTTCAATAGATTCCATCTGGCTTCCAGTCTGAAGCAATTGTGAGGGATTCTGTCCTCAAAATACTCAGCCAGATTCTTACAACTTACACTAATGGGTTCTTCTAGACCAGGCATCAGCAAACGGCGGCTCTGGAGCCACATGTGACTCTTCCCTCCCTCTGCTGCGGCTCCGTCACCAGTCGGCACCACAATTTTGAGAGGAGCTT